ATTCCCCTGGGTTTCTGTGGTCACAGAGCCCACACCAGAAGGCTCCTGCCCTGCAGTGACCCCCCCACAGCGGTCAGCTCCCCTGTGCATGTCCAGGGACAAATGGCAGGACTTTACTGCCAGGAACTGTGGTGAACAAGGGGGTGGGATTCCATACTAAGTCCAGGATCCTGGTAACTCACTCTGTACCCCAAAAAGCATCCATGAGAAATGTGTATATTGGGGTGTCTATGCCCCCAGGAGAGCTGCTCCTCAGGGGTCCTGGGGAGTCTCCAGCCCCTCTTAGGTTTCTCAGAGCCTGGGTCTAAATGTTCTGCCTCCCTCCTTGGGTAGACGGCCACCCATGTCTCGTGGTCAGGGGCCACTTTATTGCACGATTTGGCATGTTCTCAGACCAGTCCTCCTCCCCTACGCCTGACCCCTGAGATGTTCCCACTGACCCTTGGCGCCCTGTGTGGGGCCAGGCGGCCCTAAGGCTGCCCCTTCCCTCTCCTCCTCTGCCCCCACCCCTAGGGCCACCCCCAGGTGGGCTGGGAGGTGGACACCACTGGACAAAGCAGGGTGCCCCCACCCCGGGAAGCCCATCTGTGCCCTTCTCTGAAGAGGACACCACAGCCCCACACCTCCTCCCAGGGGTCTGCTCAGGACATGGTTCCCCAGGTCTGGGAAGGGCCTCGCCTTGGAATCCTTGCTTCCAGAAGAATCTCTCTGCTCTCTTCAGAGTTTAGAGTTGTCCCCATGTCCCTGCCAACCAGGATGCCCAGCACTGGCCCTTCAGAGACCTGGGGAGACAAGGAAGAGATGTGGCCCCAGGTCTCACAGACACCCCTGCTGGGACGCCAGGCCAAAGGGCCGTCCTCCTCCCTTCTCGGGTGTGGATCCTGTGGCTCCTCTCTGCAGGAAGCTGGACTGGGCAGTGGGGCCCAGAGCAGTTCTTGGGTCTCTCTGGGCAGGGAAGACTTGGGCCAGGCGGCCTTGCCTGGATTCCCTGCTAGGCCAGCTCTGAAAACCCCCAGTTCTCTGGCTGTGTCTGGAGGCTCCCAGAACCTCAGGGCGGGGCCCTTTCTCTCTGCCTCCATGGCCTCTGAGGCTGCGCTGGCGTTGGCGTGGGGAAAGAGCTCTCTTGCCCTCTGGTGGCCAAGTCACTGCAGGTGGATGCCGCGGGGAGACCAGGGCGAGGCAGTTCTTGCTCAGATGTGAGTTGTTTGGCAACTTGACACCTGGTCAACGAGTCTTAAACATTGGAAAGAGGAACTTGCCTGTAAAGAAGGAAGTTAATTTCAGTTATTTGTATAAAGGTTTCTCTTTCTTTCCTTAAAGACTAACAAAACCTCTCCCAGGTCACTCCGGGCAAGAAGCATAATCTAGCGATCAACCAGGAAATGCGGGAGGAGCGGGGTGGGGGTGGGGGAGGGGAGGGGCGATCAGAGCCGCGGAGAGCAGGTGCCACTCCCTGCGGTAGCACACTGGGCAGTGGCTGCGGCACCCAGCCTCTCATCTGGGGGGTGTTTCCAAAAAAAGCAATTTTGGAAGGGCTGCAGAGGACACCGAAACCTCCCAGAATGGACAGCGGGAGCAGAGTCACCATGCTGGCCCTGGGCTCTGGAGCCGGACCTGCAGTGGAGACCACGGGTCTTCTGAGAAGCGACTCCCAGCACATTCGGGGCTGTTTCGGGCTCTGTCCCAGCTGAAGTGAGCAACCCCCAACCTCCAGGAGGAGGCGCAAGGCTCCCCACCCAGGCTGTGTTGTCTTGTTGGGGAAGAGGGGTCTTTGGTTGTGGGACGTTTTGGGCTCTCTCTAAAAACTGCCTTGACCGCAGCTTGCATCCCGGTCACCGGTTCCAGGGCAACGAAAAAGCACACCCTGCATCCCTGTACACTCACGTCTTCCCAGAAGAGCAAGTATTTGCCCGTGAAAACGCCAGCCGCTCTTCTAGGGCGGCCTAAATGCCCAGCAGTGTGGGCGGTGCGCTCCTGGACAGGGACAGGAGGAGAGGGGCCAGCGGTCCTCGGCCAGGAAGGGGCCCGGCGTGGCAGCGGCGCTGTGGGTGTGTGGCGGGGAGGGCCGTGCAGGGAACCCTGTTTGCAGGGCCTCTGTGCACCCCTGCGTTATGGACTGAGATTTCATACCAGGAACTACAAAGGCTCCAGTCGCCCTAACCGGTCAGATACAACCCTCACCCTCGGGCTGGAGCCACCCGGAGCTCAGTATCTCTAACAGAGACAGTGCCCGGTATGGGGAGAGGTCATGGGGCACTTCAGGGTCAGGGGTGGTGGTACTGGGGAAGGAAGGGGGTGCAGTGAAGGGCGGGGGAGCAGGGCCCCTTGCTCTGGGGTGAGGGTTCTTGAGAAGACCACAGAGCATGGCACACACCATCCCCACCCTATACCCCAAATTCCTAGCCCCGTCAACCCAGAGGCTGCTCTGCACCCTCTCACCGTGGCTCTCCAGTGAGACCGCACCCAACCCTGCATCTGGCTCCCCCGTCCTGACCGCCTCCTGCCCTACCTCCCCTCTTGGGAGAGATCCTGTCTTCTCGGAAACTGCCCGGCAGCGCGAATTCAAGGCCTGCAGCGAGCCTGGAGGATCTGCAGTTCATGTGCCCTACCTGGCCAGCAGTGCGGGCTTGGGGTCAGTCCTCTAGCTTGCCCACCCACAGCCCCGGTCCACGTCCCGTGCAAGCGGAGGCCGGGGAGCCCATGCCGAGCCCCGC